CCCTGCGATATTAGCGTGACCAGGAATCCAAACAAGGGCTACTTGTAACCCCATGGAGATACATCTGTTTAAGAGTTTTCTACAGTCAAGAATGATTGGATAACAATTGTTTGATTTGAACGGATATTTGGCTAATGCTTGAAGGGCGCTTTTGGAATCAGAAAAAATAACAGATTTTTTCAGTTTTAGAAGAAGGATGTATTCCAAACATTTGAAGATACCGTAACATTCTCCTGTAAATACTGACGTTTCAGGAGGAAATTTGACCATCTGGATTATTTTATATTGCTTATGGAAAATACCTATGCCTACATGTCCGTTCCTCAGATGTTTAGAAGCATCAGAATACAAATGATGCCAATTCTGCCAGCGACTGTCGACGAGAAAATTGAATTTGATGTTAGTGTGTGGGTCATTTCTAGATAGCTCAATATCAAGAGTGATATCCAACGGTAAAACTAATGACTCATAGTCTGATGAGAAAATAGGGAGATAAGCTGATCGGTGCGTGGGAGCTTGAAGTGAGAGGAATTTGCGAAAACTGAGTACTAGACAGGGCGGGTTTTTTTGAGCCCAGTATGGAGAAGTATTAACATATTCAGATAAGTTAGAAAGTTTAGAATAAAGAGGGTGGTTAGCTAACTGGAGAGCTCGGAACAAAAATTTATCGCTCAAAAATTGGCGTCGGAGTCTTAAGGAAGGATCTGCGCATTCCACCTGCAATGCATTAATCGGGCTTGATTTCATGGCACCCGTCACAATACGTAGAGCTTTTGCTTGGATAGCATCTAGTTTTCGGAGTCCAGTAACATTACACGGTTCTAAGAATTGAGTTCCATAATCAAGAATGCTTCTTATTATGGCATTATACAGAAGCTTTAAACTAAAGGGGTGGGCGCCCCACCATACACCAGATAAACATCTTAAGATGTTGAGCAAACGTTCGCATCTGTTGACAATACAATAGCAGTGGGATAGTCCGGTAAGTTTAGAATCTATTATGACACCTAAAAATTTGGCTTCATTGTTGGCAGGCATAAGGGTATTATCATAAAAAACAAAGATTGGCGGGGGGCATCTCATTCTGGAAAAAAGAACTACAGAGCTTTTTGGAACCGACAGGGACATGCCATTTGCATCTAACCATAACTTTAAGGATGTAAGAGAAGTAGTAAGTATGTCGCACAACCTGTTTATATTATTTCCCGATGCATATATGAGAAGATCATCAGCATATTGCAAAATACTGATATGATTGCCTAAGGATGCTTCTAAATCATAACAGTAGAGGTTAAAAAGAAGAGGCGATAACACAGAGCCTTGTGGCAAGCCGTTCCATAACACCCTTGATTTCTTATTCAAATTTTCGTCTATGACATGAATACTTCGTCCAGATAGGATATTTATAATGAAATTTATTAAAATTTGCGGCACATTAAGAATGCGTAATTTATCAATAAGAATTGATAAAATAACGTTGTCGTACGCGGCAGAAATGTCTAAGAATGTGGCTAATAGGTGGTGATTTTCAGAAAAAGCTAGTCTAATATCTGTTGTAAAAATAGCTATGCTATCTGAAGTGCTTCTACCTTTTCTAAAACCGAACTGACTGTTGTTTACTAACCCTTTGCTTTCTATGTACCATTCAAGTCTATTCTTTACTAAATGTTCCATAATTTTGATTAAAACTGAAGAAAGAGCAATAGGACGATATGATTCTACGTTTGATGAAGGTTTGTTTGGTTTTAGAATAGGTATAACTTCTTGCACTTTCCACGACGGAGGGATACTACCCGAAAACATTATCGAATTGATCAGTGCGAGATGGTAAGACAAAAACGAATCAGGCAGATTACAAAAGAAAGAGTATGGAATGCCATCTAAACCTGGGGCAGAATCTTTCACGTAAGAGAGGATTCCCTTAAGTTCTGTAAGCTTAAAAGGAGCATTGAGGCCAGTATGTTCTACGTCAGATAAAGATTTGTACAAAGCAGTATAATTGTGAGGGACAAAAGCAGGGGCTAATTTATCTAAAAAGACATCAGTTAGTTGTTCGGGAAGGAAAGGTGGTTTCGGTTCTTTATAAACGGATCTGAAACGTCTTATATTGGCCCAGATGACTGATGGGGGAGTATCAGGACATAAAGAAGAACAGAAGTTTCTCCAGCTTTCCCATTTTTTTTTCTTGAACAGCTTCCTAGTATCCGCAGAAATTCGAGAAAAGATTTCAAGGTTTTCTTCAGTAGAGTGAAGAATGTAGGTTCTCTCAGCCTGTTTTCTTTTTTTTATAGCCTCAGAACATTCATTGTCCCACCAAGGTGGAGATGGAATTTTATTAGAACCGTGTTTTTTTGTAGGAAAAGACTCATCAGCTGCCTCTACTAGAACACGGGCTAAAGCTTCCGCACACTCAATCTGATTACTATTATCGACTGGTGGAAGAGATGAAACCTTTTTTGTCACATTTTCTTTGAAAAGGAACCAATCAGCATTCTTTAAATTATGTTTGAGACGTGGGGATCGAATGTTCACTGCATTATTATCTGAAGGAAAAGTTACGACTATAGGATAATGGTCACTTCCATAAGTTGATGTTAGGGTTGCCCATGATAACAGGGAGGATAGGCTAGCGCTGGAGATCGTTAAATCAGGGACACTTTTCCCTTCATGGGGACGAGTGAGACGAGTAAAGTTACCAGTGTTAAGTAAGCATAAATTATTTCTATCTAAAAATTCTAAAATCCTGCTGCCATAATGATTAGAATAAGTGCTTCCCCATGACTGATGCTGAGCATTGAAATCGCCCATTATCAGTATCGGTTTAGGTATATTTGCTAATAAGCTTTCTAACTCATCATAAACTAAAGAGGATGGATCAGGAATATATACGGAGACAAATGAAATATTATTTATAGATGCTGCTACAATGCCAATTTTATTACTATGTTCAGGAAAATTTATACGAGAGAAAGGGACATTATTTTAATGAGTAAGGCAACACCAGCGTAGTTGTCGAATCTATCTTCTCTTAGACAGTAATATCCAAATATTTTAAAAGTATATTCAGGCCGTAGCCACGTTTCCTGTAGAGCCACCACAAAAGGCTCTAAAGAATTTAACAAATAAATTAAGTCGCTTTTCTTATTATTAATGCTCCTGCAATTCCATTGGATTACTTGAGACTTCTTTCCCATAATTAACGTTATTTGGATTCATCATAACATCATTTTTTAATATGGCAACGTTGGACGGTGACAACAGATTGTTGTGAGATAAAGAGGTTATGAGTGTGATAAGAAGATCTTTAATTGATAAGTTTGCAAGTGAATCATTAGATTGAACATTATTATCGCTATTTACCAAGATACTTTTACTAGGCGCAAATGGGGTGTTGTAATCTCTTGTCAAAGTCTCATGTTCACTACGGTTATAACCTTTACTTGGTCTATGTATAGTTTTTGGTTTTAAGAAAACTGTTTTTTTATAAGAATGAGTTGTTGTATTATTTTGCAGATTAGGTAGATTGTAACTGAAATTGTGAGAATTGTGAGAGTCTTGCTGATTAGGTTTAACAGTCATTAAAACATCGGCATAAGATTTAGAAATCGGGGGATGTAATTTTAGAGCCTCAGAATAAGTTATGCAGCTCTTTGCCATTGTCTCTTTTATACTCTTTTGTCTGTTATATTCTGGACATTTTCTACTGGTTGCCATGTGGAAACCAGAACACAAGAAGCAAGTAATATTTTCTTCATCAATTTCACAGGTATCTCCTGTGTGACCGTGACCACATTTAAAGCACCTTGGCAAAGATCTACATTGGCTTTTGACGTGTCCGTATCTACAGCACTTAAAGCATTGGATTGTTGGATATATGTACAGATCAACAGGTAGAGAGTTGTAACACAAAAATATCCTTTTTGGCAAAACCTGTCCATCAAAAGTTACAACGACTGTCTCAATTGGAGTAAATTCTGATTTACCATTAACTGTTGTTTTTTTCTTTAACCGCCTAACCTTTAACACACTACCACATCCAGTAGGAACACTTATGTTCTTAATGATTTCATCATCACTCCAGCTGACAGGGACACCTCTTATCACACCCATACGAGTAATATTGGATATTGGAATAAATGTTTTGTAATTATACTGTTTTAAATTGTCATTATTAAGGAAACTGTTAGCATCTTCATAGTTAGAAAAGGAAATTGAGAGCCTATTTCGTCCTACCCTTTTAAGACTTCCGTTTATTACATTTCTGAAACAATGTTTTTTAAGAAAATAGCCAAATGACACTGGGTGCATGGTGCAATTTTCATTAGGTGTTGATTGTTCCTTCATCACATGTACAACATATGGAGACAGGTCCGTGGAAACATACCGAGGCCTAGCAACCGGGGCACTAGGCTGTTCAGTTGGTGGAGGCTGGACACGTTGAGATACATTCGACTCATTCAACAGTGGGGTGCTGCTGTGAAGTGGAGCTGGAGGGGTGAAGTTATTACCCAAACTTTGTGTAGGCACAGCCATTTCATCATCAAAAATACACTGACATTCATTCGAAGGTACAGGACCATCTACTTTCCTGTGCTTTCGCTTTTTCTTATTACATTGCTTACATATTTTCCTAACTGAAACTCGTTTACGTTTAAGTGTGGAAGTATTTGTATTTTCAGAAGCATCTGTGTCAAAAAATGAGCCATCTGACTCTTCTCTAGGGGGACAGTTTGGAGGATATGTAATAAAATTGGAGGCCTCAGGGACCTCCAGTGGCGTTAATCCACCACCAGGATCGTCAGGGGGCTCATTCATGTTATGAAGTTAACTCACCAAGAACTCGCCGAGATGAGGACTTTATATAAAATAATACGTAAATATAGATAAAAGAGAAGCAAAATATATATGCACAAAACTCCTTATCTGATCCTTATTTCAAGAAATAAAATTCGCAGCCGAAAAAAGACGCCTATTCAGTTCGCAGTTTCCCGCCCTTTTTCTTGGTAAATGTTTAACAGTAAATAAGAATAAGGAAGTATTGCTAGTGTTCAAAAATATGGAACACATTAGGAAATGAACTGTTAGGCCATAGACTTTTAGTATTAAGTCACACACATCTATTATTACTCAAGTGCTAAGCAACTACTGCTGTCCTTTTCATTTTGAGTGTAATATCATTATCATGTTTTGTTTTACAATGAATAGATAACAGAAAATACTTATCTGTAAACACATGTTATGTGTGGTTTAGAGTAAAACTAAGCCAGAAATAAGAAAACACATGGTGTCTTGCATATATTTGACTGCACGGTTGGTGCGGTAGCTGGGCAACTGGCTGCCGTGCAATGTGTCGCGGGTTCGATTCCCGCTTGGAACAACTCTTTGTGTGATCCACAAATTGTTGTTCCAGGTCTGGGTGTTATGTGTATGTGAAATTGTATCTTTATAACCGCACCCATGACACAGGAGAAAATCCAAATGTGGGGCAACATTTAAAAAAAATAGAATTAGAATCTGCACCCATATCATGGGTTAAATTAATATGTCATTATTTGGAAGATTACAATGTCTACTAATGATGTTAAAAAAATAGGTTACCATAAAAAAAAACTAACTGAACTAGAATAACAGAGCTGCCAAATAACTAAACATAACCATAGAAAATAATGCCAATTGCAATACTTTTTCTACAATAAAATTATTTATCACACTTAGTCTTAGATAACTTAGAAGTTTTCAACCTGAAAAACCTGTTTTTTCCAAGTGATGTGCTCTACAATTTTTAATGCTTGGATACCATTAATTAATTACCTGTGAAATATTGAAATATTATGGAAATTTGAGTGACCCTCATTGTCTATACTATAATAATCTTGTTTGAACCAATATTTTAGTGTTATTGTTGCTTCTTTACTTATGAGTACTCTGAATGTTCTATTTATTTGAAACTGATAGAAACACATTTGAAAGATTGAAATGAATATGATTTTTGCAGTTTTCTTTTATTTAGATTATGTGAATACTTAATGATATATATAACTTATAGAAAATAATATCACATTATCTTGTATCATCACAACTAAGTCTCTTTTTTATTTTAGTTCTTGGGCCATTTGCAGCTACCCCTGAGTCATTTTTATAATAAACTTGTGGAATTTCATTTTCATTTTCATATTCTAATAGTTTGTGAAGTAAAAATCTTCTTTCGTCTTTCACAATTAAAATGCTTTCTTGGACTTTAGCTACTTCATCGCACAATGCAGCATTTTCCTATAAAAAAATTAAATATGTTAGTGTGAGTGATATAAATTCACTAACATAATAAAACTATTTTATATTTAAGATACTTACGAGAATTAAACTTTTTATCCGCATTTTCATATATTTGTATTTTTTTCTATATCGTTTATTCTGGTTTTCACTATTACCCGTGTTCATAGTTGTTGTCAGTTTTATTCTTAATTCAGATAGGTTGTTGTAGTATTTGATTGTCTTTTCAGTCACGACGCAACTCAAACTTTACTCTTTTATTGTAAAATTCATAACAAATCAAAAATAAATTATATTACCTACCTGCGAAATACCAAAATTGCCACTGACAAATTTTTGACAGTGGCAGTTGACACTTTGACAGTAACATAAACAAAACGTTGAACCCTAAACAAATGGAGGAACTATAGCAAAGAGTAAAGTAGGTAATAAAGGAGTAATGAATTATAGTTTATGGAAGTTATGGAACTAGAAACCTTAAACTCTATAAAAGTCCTCCATGTTTGGAACACGTATTATTAATTTCGTATTTACGATAGAAAAGAATAAACCTATTCTGCTTGTGCAAGTAGACAACTAATATTTGCCAGTTGCTTGCGAGATATGAATATTCTTATGCCCGACAGGGCCCACAATGCTCCTAAACTAATTTAAACCTTATGTATTGTATCCTACCATGTAAGTTCACATTGTGGAATGCAATAAATACCTACTATATTGAGTATTGAGACCAAGACGTCATATCAACACGTCATCAGTCTACTATAAGTGTCCACTGCTGAGCAAAGGCCTCTTCTCTTCTCACACCGAGAAGGTTCGAGCATTAATCACCACACTTACTTAAGGTTCAAACCCTTAATTAGAAATATTAAGTCTAGGTTTCTTCACGATGTTTTCCTTTAACGTATGTCAATGGTCTCAATAATCTTAGAAAATACAGATAACTCGGAAAAAGCCACATTGGTACTTGCCAGGTCTCGAACCCAAATATTTGAGAAGCAGACGCCTTAACCTGACCAACCAGTATATAATTCAGCATATAGGAACTTTTATATTGTGAGATCGTCAGACAAATTAGTCCGTTTTCGTCCATTGTCGTATCACGGTGTACTTAATTGAAATTGTGTCCCGATTATTCCTGTCGGGTTAAAAATTGCACTTAGAAAGCTTTTCTCCGAAAATAATTCAAAGTGACTTACTTTTACATAGGTATATGAAATAAAAATGCCCAAAAATCTGCGTTGTTGCCATGAATATTTGATGTCTTTTTAAATTAAAATAATAAGTACTAATTAAAAACTTGTTAAATACCTATTAGATCTTAGATTTCAATCTTGAGATGATCTGTACAGCACTAACCTATACCTGTAGCCTATAAATTTTGGCTAGATACCAGATAGGTACAATGTACTATGCATTGATTGTTGTAGTCAAAATTTTTACTATAAGTTTAATTAGATGACAGAGGAAAATAAAAAGAAAATGTTATGTTTATTTATTTATTTTATAATTCAAATGGGAATTTCATATCGATTTTATCGACGATGGCATACCTAGTTACAAATAATGTATAACCTAATAGAATTTATAACAATGTATTTATTAATACAAAATCTTTTTTCTGTCTCGACCTTACAAATTCTGTGAAACAACGTTTTTGATCAGTAAGTACCTAGGTATAACTAAGTTAATAAGAATCACATACAAGAAAAAAAGAGCTTCAATTTCCCTAAAGAGATACGACTGGAGTGTCACTAATCGTAAGTAAATATCGAAGATATTTTAAAGAGGATAATCACTGTTGCCAGGATTAATTCTCAGTAACAGTATAGTACTAAGCATTAGCCTAAGAACGCAAACAATAGTCCCTTATCTGAACCAAATTCGAACCCGAGACCTCTCGTCTTTAGCAGTTACTCACAATCAGAACCAACAAAACAATACATACATATAAACATTATGGAACCCTACTTAATTAATGTGCAGACAGGCGGGTACACTTTGCGATTTAGTTGGTTAAAACTGTTTTCTACGAAACATTTTATGTACCTAAATTAGAAACAAAAGTAAAAAGACTTAAATTGGCATCTTTTTTAAATTTTAAAGAGAGGCAACAATATTGTTTAACTATTATGCCACCGATCAATATGGAAATCAAAATATTAATTTTATGCCATCCATTTAGCTGAAAACTGCATTATTCAAAACCGTGTAGGTATTCAATAAACTACTTAATTATGTTACAAGTCGGTAATCTAGAAGCTTTGATGATTTACAAAGTATTTGTACATTATAATATTTAGACAACAGAGGTTTCCGTAATTTCACTCTAGTTAAGCGTCATATTTTCGAAGCAGGAAATGTTTAAAATAACGAACTAATAGTCAAAAACTGTAATCAATAGTAAAAAGCCTTGGGAAAAACTTAATTTATGAACATTTTATAATTTGTATACTATTAATATTATAGTAAAATAATAATTCAATAGTCAATTTCAAACCATGTGAAATAATGTGAAATTTAAAAAACTTTTAACATATATAAGTACCTACTTCTTTTTAATAATAGCTTTATATAATACAATAACATCTAAATTAATTATTATGTTTGCGGCTTACTCACGTAATTGTTGACGAGAAACTCGACTAGTTTCGAGTCATGCTAGAGGTTTATAGGTGCGGCGACTGTCGCGCGCTATTAGTCGGCGCAACATAATAATTAATTTAGTATGTCTCACGAAAGTTATAAGAACAATAGCATCTATTTTAAAACACGTGTTTGCACTATTTTAAATGTGGCTTTCCAGACTGAGTACGAAGACATGTCGCTTGGTGCTCCACGTAATTTGTGTTGTTTCTTCTAAGATAGGTAATACGCGTTATAAGTAATAGAGTTATTGATTTTTTTATTTACTAAGGATTTTTTGGGGATCTATTTTACAATAATCGCTCATTATAGCTATCGTTAATTAGAGCCTATTATTGCATTTTAGATAGTCTTACAGTATCTATATGTATATATGTAATAATAATATGTAACAGTACCTACGTAGAATCGTACCACTTTCGACTACCGTCATTGGTGTCATTTTCATGGTTTTGCAGGTCAAAACGAAGAGGAAGGTTTATATGTACCTATAATAACACCCATTGAATAGTCGGGATATTTAGTACCTATCAGCATAACACCCGGGCAAAGTTGAGGCGGGTCGCTAGTAGGTACTTTATATACTACAATAAGTATACCATAAAACTTATTACGAACATTTTGCACAGAAAGTTTGACGAACATATTAAACAGAAAGTTTGTTTAAAAACTAAAAACGTGTAAGTCGAACATATGTAAACAAGCTATTCAACTAACAATATAGGATTGATTAAATAGCTAGATAGATTTATCAGTAAAATTGTTGAAAAAAATCCTTACTTTTTAACAAAATATATGAATAAATCCGATAAAAATATAATTAAATTATCATTATGGAACTGGGCAGGTGGGTGCACATAATAAGTTTGTTTGCCTCCAATTTAAAAAACAAATTATTGGAGTTATTTATAATTGTAGATATAGCTTCGTAAGTATATGGCCAAGATGTACAGAAAAAATTAAACACGAACCATTATTTTCTTTGAATATATGAATATTTTAAAATTTTCGATTTTATTTAAAAAAAATATTTAGTACTTTATTGGAAGAGAATATTATTACTTACTTAGGTATACGAATATATTTTATATACATCCATTATAACAATAAATTTGATTTCTGTATTAATTTGTACGTAAGAACTTAAAATGTTTATAGCAATCTTATTTTAGAAAGATATAACATCTATTTGCGATGGTTTATCAAGTTGTGCGGTGGGTAAGGAAAATAAAATTATAAAAAAATATTTAAATGCAATGCATAAGATACTGAAAATAGTTAACATAACATGTCATCACTTACACCCGGTTTCCGAAAGGCCGATCAATGTTAAAATCAATTTAATCTCTTGTCAAGTCATCTGATTGGTTGACTGCATTATCAACAACCAATCAGATGACTTGACAAGAGATTTAACAGGAGATTAGTTAATTTTAGCGTTGACAAGCCTTTCAGAAACCGGGCGTTAGTGTCTCCTTGTACCTTGTTGACCTGCGAGTATATATTTAAGTGCAAAAGCAAAACTTATAAATTACTTAAATTAATGTGATGAAATCTTACTCATAAATTATTATGACACTGTGTGCCGGCACAGAAAATAGTTTATTGAAATCGAGGCAGAATATGGAAATGTGTATTTTGGATACTTAATTTATAATTTCCAAAGTGTGGGAGAGCCATGCTTCGGCACGAATGGGTCGGCTCGACCGGAGTGATACCACGGCCTCACAGAAAACCGGCGTGAAATAACCACTGCGTTGTGTTTCACCGTGTGAGTGAGGTTACCGGAGGCCCAATCCTTCCCCTTCCCCAATCCCTAATCCCTAAAAGGTCGGCAACGCACTCGTAACTCCTCCGTTGCGAGTGTCCATGGGCGGCGCTGATTTCTTACCATCAGGTAATCCGTCTGCTCGTTTGCCGACCTATTACATAAAAAAAAATCTTGGCGATCATTATCAATTTCAGCATAAGTATATTATATGGCGTATGGCTTATTTTGCGAACTGCGCACAAATGATTGCTTAGAGTAGTAGAGTATACATTAAAGTTTTATAAATATGCTATGAACAACCTTAATTTAAGATAGTTTTGTTGTTAAAATATCAACACGTAAATGACTACAAAAAAATGACACTGTCTTATTATTCACATAAACTTGATCGTGGCTAGCAAATTACATAGAAGTTTAGCTAATTACAGTAACAATTAAATGAACATACATTATTAATAGGTTTTTACCTGTACTGGCCAGTACTGCAGAACGGCAATTTCATAGGTAAAGACCTATTATTTAAAAAAATATACTTAACTAAATATTTATCTTTATTTATATTATGACGTAGTTTCCATATAAGGACATATCTATTTAAAACTTTTCATGTTTTTCGTCTACAAATCGAATGGTTAAATTATTATTATTCATTTATATACATAACAAATATCTGTGCAAGGAAAAATGCATTCTGGTAACATAAAAATTGAAGGATCTATATAAGTTTTTGTAGTACCTATAAGAAGATTTTTAATTCTAAGTACCATCATTAAGAATTTTACGAGACTATTACAATATGCTGTAGTTTGTAAGGATACTTCACGTACATTCCTACACTTATTTTAAAAATCTACTTATTTTATATAGTTTGAACAAGAACTATTTATTTAAAAATGTAAAGCGGCCGCGACCCCTGCGGTTTGCTACATTTAGTGCTCTCAAAAGCAATTTTCTAAACAGTTAATCTATTGAAGAATCAATGACACACAGAGACGGTTCTAACTTACTCTTTAGTTGTTATAGGAATAAATAATAATTGTTAGTGTCATATGCTTAGCCATGAAACACATAACAATTTTTAAATGTAGTGATCCATATTTAGTTGGTGAGGTATTAGTGAATGCAAAAAATATTTTACAAAAACTAACATAGTATGTTGATGTGCGCAAAAAATTATATTAATTTATAGAGGGATTTGTACTTATGTCGACTTCACTAGAAATAAAAATATTAAGTTAGAGTGAACTCACAGAGGTTTATATGGACTTGAGAATACGTATTTGGGGTTTTCATAGCCTATGAAGACTAATTAACTTTTTATAAAATTTAATATGTCTAAAGGTATTAACAATCGATGACAGTCATAATCATTCGCGATTTTTTTTTATAGGCTAATACGATTAATCTCCTTTATAACAGCACCCTAAATCATTGATTACAAGATATGGCATTAAAAAAAATGTTAAATCCCATCCCATTTATGAATTTGCAGATGAGACATCAATAGGATCCAAAGTTATATTTTTAATAAATGCATTCATATTTATTGGGCGATTTGCTCACTCTTAAACTTGAATCTAAAAATACATGATATCACCCAGAATAATAATAAATATACCAACATTAACGATCTAATAGAAACACATAAACTACATAAAATACTTTGTATACATCACTCATTTAGGTACATTGGTACCAGTCTAAAAGAGAAGCGTATTTGGTTCCTAATCCAAAATATTACCTTCAACGTTCACGCCGAGCTCGTTTGGCGCGTGCTGTGGGTAAAGAGGCGTTAGCGTCATCCACATCTCTTTTCTTAGTCGGCGCCTGAGGCCGTTGGAGTTGACTTTGTGCTGTTAACTGCAACTGCAGTGCATGAGTATTTAAACGTTCCGCTAAAAGTAAAGGTCGCAGTGCCGCCATCTTATGGCTGTACAGAGTAACTCGCGGCCGACTGTTTACAGCGGCTGTTAGCTGTTCACGCACAGACATCTCTGCATTATCTGCATTGTTGTTCCATTTATCATTGTCCCTTTTATCTTTTTCAACATTTTCTGTCCCTTTTGTTGACTCTGTATGTTCGTCAGTATCGGTTTTGCATATAATGTGAACTTGGGCTCTTACTTCTGCATCAAATTTTGATATTGTGCTCACCAAAGGTTTAGCCCAACCAATATGAAGAATTGGTGTTTGACTACCTTCCTCCCATTTGCAGATGCCATCGTAAAACCTAAAAAAATATACAATATTTTATATAAATAAAAAGATTTCTTAGTACAAGAACATTATATTTGTAACTCTACCAACCGGAGCAACGAAGCAAAGCACTCTGGGTCCTTCAATATTGATCTAGCAGAGTGCCCAGAACTCTCAGCTTTCATTAATTGAGGTATCAGTTCATTTGCTATTTCAGAAAACTCCTTGTATATCTCTTCATCATCACGGGAATAATTGTAGCTGTAAATAATATTTGTTATGTTAATGAAGTAATACAGATGTCTCATATCTTTTACATTTTGCTGGTTATTGTTTTATATCTGTTGCATACATAATGATAATTTAACAATGTATACTATTTTTACTACCAATTCTCGCCTGAAATTTCCTAGTTCAGGCACCTAATCTGAGGTAGATATAATTTTTTCCATTACTTATATAAAGGACAATTAATTTAGATCAATAATTGAACTGCATCATCTAAACAACATGTAACTAAAAACCTTGTCTAAACTTTTCTTGGTGTAAACAAAACATACAAATTGATTAAGTTAATCTTGTATTCAATTTGATTCTTTTTTGTGGTGTGATGAGTATGACAGGGATGGAATGTAGTACTCTCTTCAGAGACAGAGGAGAAATAAGTTTTTAAACCTAATGTCGTAAAGAAGGTATCGAATCCAGAAAACAAGAATAGAGACTTTGAAAGTATCTTTGTATTATACAATAACAAACAAAATATGGTAAGTAATTGGCGCGGTCTATGGACACCCGCAACAACAGAGGATATGAAAGTGCGTTGCCAGTCTTTTGGTACCATATAAGAGGATTGGCGGATTTACTAACTGATGAAAGATTGGGGGAATGGAGGGCAAGGATTGATATGTAACAAAACATAATAATAATGATTACAAATGAAATATTGTGATTTCAGTACAATAGGAATAATTTTAATTTTTTTTCTGTTAATGTCAATATTATATATTGGCTGTTGAAAATTACTAGTTCCCGAATCGATATTAATATTACTCTGCTTAATTATGTAGCTATACCTCATACTTAACTGCTCTTTAAAAGCATAAAAAAAACTCACTGTCGAATAACATCACCAGCACAGGCCCATGCATGAAAAGCTTCTTTATACATCTTGTTGCGATGGTAATGCCCCCCTTGGAATGTGTATGGATATACATGGCGATCATCATAATTTGTTCTTGCTGATCTAATAGCTTGGGCATAAAGTGCAGGTGGGTCCGGTCTAGGAGTGCCATCTGGGCGCAAATTTTCCAATTCATTATGTAGAGGCAATTCATCAGATTCTGCAGAACAGTTAGTTATTCTCATGTATTCATCTAAATCTCCAAGATTGCCCAAAGCCATTGGGTAGGCATCCAAGTGACCTGGAAATATGATAATTATCTTGTTTAAAAGTTAATAAATTCCAGAGGCTTTGACCATGATATGCAAGTCAGATTTGAATGTTGCAACTAGTTGCCTTTTAAAACAATAAATACACCACCACCAATTTAAGAAAAGAATTTAGGTCTTATTACCATTGTCATAAAGTAACCACAGAAGTCTGTGCTGCATTTGAGCAATTTCATGGACATCAGTAGTTTGGGTTAATGTAGGGTTGATTGAAGAGACAAGAGCAGCAAGTTCCATTACTCTGGTACATATTACAGGTTTACCAGCCACATACAACCATGATCGAGCAGATACACCATCTCCCACTGATCTTCCCCGTTTGTCTTCATTGCCTTTGCCATGCCAAGTTACCTACACACATCATTTTCTCATTATACACTAGTCTCATATTATACATGGGTTAGTAAATAGCACATTTTGGTGGAAGTTACAAATTTGTACATTTAAAATGTGTTTGAACTTTATTTTTTTATAGAATCAGGTGTTACGTTGCAGAAATCCATGACATTAAATGTTAGGGAAAATATTTAGTTTAAATTCCGCGACAAAATTTGTCACGGAATTAAAACTAAATATTTTCCCTAACATTTAATTTGAACTTTATATTATTTCTCACAAACCTCAGCTGTTTCTGTGCCATCTTTCCCAAATACAACCCAAGCATGATCCTCAGATAAAGCTAAGTGGACATCCTGTTTACCAAGAACTTGACAGCCTGCTGTTACTGCAAATGCAACACCAAAGCAGTCTAATTTATTTCCTGTTAAAAAGCTGTATATAGACTGCAAATGTGCTCGGTCTTTATAGTAACTGCGAGTCAAAGAATTCCAAACCACATCGGCAACTCGTTTAACCAAGTCTCTTGTAGTGTAAGCTCCATTTAGCAGTTTTACATCGACGCCTCCACGCATCAGTGACACAAACCGTTCATGTAGTGATTTTACTTCTTCATATTCAACAGACGGAAACTTCATTTTAACGACTTTGTTTGCCGCCAAATTCATTTCTTTGTCGCTGTTTTTGACATTGGTTAAATTATTTTCAACCGCTCCGACAATAATAGAAAACAGCGCTAAATCTGCTTCTTTCTCACTGCGTAGTTGTTCTTCAAACAGATCACATACTTTTTGTATGCTATCTATTGGAAAATAATGCTTGTATTCTTGCAACGCCATTATTCTGGATGCAATGATTTACATATTTCACAAAAAAAACAGTAAATAATATTGTAAACCTTACGGTTTAGCCGGCTTGTAATTATTATTTTTCATTTGATGTGTATTTATTTGTATATATATACTTTTTAATTACCGCTCCTTGAAATTGAAACTTAGGCTTTTGGATTACGTTGTACCTTGGATTTGTAAGAGTTTTTTCGCAGGATGATGCATAGAAAGCTTTAGTAAGTTTCTATATCTATGCCCATTTTTAGTTACATTACGCAGTTACAATACAATCCAAAATACAATGTAGGTACTCTGTGGTGTGGTACAACAGGGTATTTATGTTCTGTGGGTACAACTATTGTCCATGAAACGTGTTGTGTTATTGTTCTTTATTAGATAATCTGTGGTTATTGTTGACGTTGACTGACACGAAATCGATGGATTGTGCATGAATTTGCAAAAGAAATTTCTAAATTGAAGTTCATAATATTAATGAAACTTAATGAGTTAAATGTTTTTTGAATCATTTATAATACAGTTGTTGTTATAGACTATGAATCAACTGTCATGAATAATATTAATATAGATAAAACCATTGAACATGTTGAGAATATAGTCAAAAACAATCAATGCAGTGTGTGGTCAGTTAATCATTGAATCTTAGTTGAATTAATTCTCTTATTTATGTTAATCATTATATATAGCAATTGCGAAAATCTTGGCCTATTACATTGAACACTCTTTTTACTATACAGTAATCAAACAAAAGGGTATTTTATTTGAGAATAATATTTGTTTCTTTGGTCTAACAGTGTCAAGACAGATGGTCAGCGACTGAGATATTACTGTGGACATACAGCATGTGATGACTGTGTGGTTGATGTCATAGACTGTAGCATTTGCCTTACACCACCTCCAATATCTACTCAAAAAGCCAGGCTCGATGATGTATTGACTCAGCGAGCTAAGAATGCATCAGTACTTTTAAAACTATGTCAAAAATTGTTTAACACAGATGGTAAGTTACTGTGACTATGACTTAATTTTTAATAAATTCTTTAGTTGTATTAAATTTAAGCTGTATTTTAATCATACTTTATTTTTAGCATTTACACGTAAAAGATTATCAGAGCAGTTGAGAATTGAAAAAGAATTGTTTCCAGCGTGCATTCAAGCTCCATTAAAATATGAGAACAAACGAAAAACTTCATTTAATTTGAGTAAAAATAAAGAGAACAGAGAATACTCTGTTTTACCAGGAGAAGCAATATCTCATTTAGACAAAAATAACACCATGGAAAATTCTTTTAAATATGTGCAGCAATGGCTAAATAAAAATGATACCGATTTTGTCAGGAAACCATTTAGAGATTTAAATGTCAACACACAATTAGATCCTAATGTAAAACATTCCAGTAACCTTAAGACATTGACTAAAACTAACAGAAAGAGAGCTCATTATAAAACAACTGTAAACAATCAATCTTTTGTTAGTCCAAAAAAGAAATCTGTCATCCACAATGATTTCATGAACCAAAAGAAAGTTAAAAAAGAATCACCACATACCTCACTTTTGAAGTATGAAACTAAAACAGAACATGATAATGATGAAAGTGGTATATTTCTGGATGATCCTATTGTGATAGATGATTCACAGGAAACAGCTATTGACAAAGATAGAAATGCATGGCTTGCTGTGCTGAAAGCCAATGAACATGAACAAAATGAATCTACCTCAGTAATAAATTTAGTTTGTAGTGATACTCAGATTTCTATACCTATTAATAAAGACATTGTTATTGGGTCTGACAAGAAGCAAACAACAACAAATCAAAATGTACCTTTCTTTAAAAAAAGTTATATAATAGAAACTTGTAAACTTTGTGATGTGGATAAAAACATAATAGCACAAACAGAAGATGTAAAAATTACAATTGATAATGCTGATTTTACAACTACAATACAAATTATAAATAGTACTGGCAATAGATCTAAGCTGAAAGCAAAAAATTCAGTTTCAGTTCAAACTGATCTTTTAGAAACCATCAACTGTGATGACTCTGCAGTAGCTAATTTGAATGAAACGAATTACAAGTTTGAAGGTGCTCCACAAAATTCGGATACACTAAGTGAAGATTTATTTGGTGATGACAGCAAACATAATGAAAATGATAGACCCGATAATGATTATAGGCGTGTAGTAATTGCAGAATCCGATAGTGATATGGAATTGGAGACAAGTGGCCCATTGCCTGTTAAAGTTGATGTCCATAGATCTTGTGATGAAACGTAAGTTATATTCTAACTAAACATTAAACTGCCATTTTTGAGTAAGACATTCTGTCATTTACCATACATTATGACTTTTATTCTATTATTAAATTCATATTAAAACACTACTATTTACGCGCTAAATAATTTGTGTTACAAAATATGACAAAGCAATTATTTTCAGGGAATATGGAATTCTAAGCGAAATTGAAAACATTCAGAATCACAGCGCCAGATCCAGGCGTGGCCCACGAGGGCTTACGCCTACTAGCACAGACTCCTCTGAGAAAGAGAATTTTAATCCTAACAGAATGAAGACTCAAACATATAAAAAGAAAAAATATTCAAAAAAAATATGATTTTTTTTTCTATTTTCAAATTCGAAATTTTATCTTCCAATGTGAATTTATAAGTTAGATGTAAAATTTTTAATGTATTTCAACATTTGTGTTAAGAAGCGTTCGTTATTTCTTAAGGATACTTTTTGTGCCTTGTTTGTTTATTAGCAATGATTAAAAAGTATAATTATATTCTTATAACTACTTGCATTTGTTTTGTTTCCGTAAACTAAACTCTCAAATACCATTCAACTATAAAATAGAGTTCAAAGTCTCAAACTTTACTGACCGTCAGAATCCTGATTCCGATGGACAGATAAGCTTAGTAACATTTACGAGTATATTAACTCAGTAAAAAGTACTGTTTCTTAGTTTGTGAAAAATATGAGCACAAATAGCGAGATTTGTGTCATTTTCTTGAAGATTGCTGAAGGGATTTAAGAAAAATCAAAACGATGTGTTTGGAGGTATCACTGTATTGTCGGAAATTTCGCTATAAATAGTTCGGGACGGAATCACCACCAGCCGCCGCCGCCGCCGCCGCCGGACTTCCAGCCACCGCCTCCACCACCGCTAGACCAGCCACTGCTGCCGCCGCCGAGTTTCCAGCCACCACCGCCGCCGCCGCTGGACCACCCGCTGCTGCCGCCGCCAAGCTTCCAGCCGCCACCACCACCGCCGCTGGACCAGCCACCACCGCCAGACTTCCAGCCACCGCCGCCGCCGCCGCTGGACCAACCGCTGCTACCACCGCCTGACCAAAACAATAACATTTATAGTAAAATTGTAATATCGGAATACACATTAGCAATGCTTTTATTCTAAATTAGCCAGGATTGAAACAGACAGGAGACAGGAGCATTGATACGAACGTTTAGCGAAATATCTACCTTTTAACCATCTATACCTATAGGTAACCTATATAATTACAACAAATCATTTTACCCATAAAGTAAATGATCGACAAGGATGACAAGTAAATATGGAGGAGGAATTATATCGGTGTTGCAATATCGTTACTCAAGTCAATGTCTCCTTGAAATAGCCTTGACTTGCGGTCAAATATTCGGCCGGTAAGTTTTGTTAAAATAATAGTAATTTAAGATTGCGTAAATAAGTTACTATAGAATATTCAACGGAACATCTTATGTCCAGGCTAAATGCAGCGGTTGCGAAATTCGTAATGATGCCCGCTGAGCGAATGGATGACCCCAGCTACAGGTGATGTCTCGACCTCCAAATGCTTACTAAGCGGTGGAAATACATATTAGGCACGCTACTTCTACTGTAGGTACCTACTAAGTACTATAACTAGTACCTAAGGTACCTGTAGCTGCTACACCCACCAATCGGATTTTATGTTAGGCACCTGGATAGAACTACCTATGTACCTACTTAACGAATAGATGTGTCGCAAGCGATAAGATACCTGTATCTACCAAGTACGAAGTATCAAATTATTTGCAAGTTTTAAAACTCCTTTATACCTATACCTACCTACAGAATGTAGATGGTTCACTGGCTATAGCTAGATATCGGATTAGGTAAAGGTAGGTAGGTACCTATATTGTAAATAGATAGATGCCGCGTAGTACGTAGTATTTAAGTTCATCGACATTTCGTGACTTCGCAGTTACGAGGTCAGTAAAGCATCGATCATTAAATCATTGTACTTATTTGCAAAGTTGTACAGTCCATGGCGTAGGTTACCTACCTAATTTTTGGTTATAGGTAAATGTGTGTGGTGTTCGATTTTTAGTTTGCAGTAGGTATTAACGTTATGGTGTACTGATTGCCCCATAATAAATAGAACTCTTAAATATCTCATCCCTTAAAAAGTCTTACCGTATCCGCCTCCGTAGCCACCGCCGAAGCCGCCACCACCACCGTGACCGCCGCCTCCGGAGCTTATGATCTTGATGATCTTAACTTCTGTTAACCAAAAACGAAATCGTTAGGTAATATCAATAAACAACATTCCTAGTCACTATATAGATAGGTATCTAGATATAATTATCGGTTTTAGAAAGACTGCTGAGATTAAAACAATATTCACAAACAAAATATTATTCAGGAACACTCCGAATCATTGTGCAAAAACATGCAATAGTCGGCTTTCAATTCATTAAGCCTGGTATAACTTAGCACCTATACTCACTAACACTATCTAAATTAAAAAATTGCGAGAGTTACAACTTTGTACAAAATACTAAATTCCTAAGAATTATACCGTTTTTTAAAAGCTTTTATTCTAATGTAACTTACGGCCGCCGCTGCCACCGCCGGACCAGCCGCCACCACCGCCTCCGCTGGACCAGCCACCGCCGCCTCCTCCACTGGACCAGCCGCCGCCACCGCCCCCGAGTTTCCAGCCACCGCCGCCGCCGCCACCACCGTAGCCGCCGCCGTAGCCACCGCCGCCACCAGACCAGCCGCCGCCGCCGCCACCGCCGCCGCCTGACCAGCCACCGCTACTAATGTAGCCGGCCTTCGCGACTACTGCCAATGCTAACAGACAGACAAACACCTGCAACAAACAATTACAATGTGAGATTATAGTAACCTAACATACCTAATGTTCTGCTTTAATAAAATAGGTACAATTTGAAGTATAGTTACCAGCATTACAAAACTAAAATGTTCACAAATTAAGTGATAAGACAAAAATTGAAAGTGCTGCAAGAGGTCACGATGCATAGAATGAAAGGAGGAAAGATTAAAATGTACCTAGTAAGTATTATAATTTATAGCACAATCAACTCGGTCATCTTTGTTGGCTTGTGTGTGAATTTTTAAAAAGTGAATTATTTTATATGATACTTTTCCCAGCGTAAGTAGGAATATTAGGTTCATAATTAGGTAAGTCCTAAAATCGTTCTGTATTTTACAATATCCTTTGCAGAAATAATTAGTTAATGCAATAAATTACTTAAAACACGCAATATCTATATAATATCTAATAACAAATTAAATAAAATCTTACGTAGGTAGTAAATTTTGAAAGGGCTAAGAATATAAGTACCTATATGGACACTTATATTATCATGAAAGATACCTATTTAGACTCTATATAGAATAACGAAAAATCAAGATTAGGTACAGCAAGTACCAAATCTATGGCAAGGAACATCGAATTAAGAAAGGCAAATTAAAAATAAATAGGAAGGATTTTCTTTTTGGGTAGGTAACTACAACATCAATCAAGGGCTTCCAAAAAGGTTCACTTTTTATTGTACTCTAGGTAAGTAACTAGTAGGTAGTATACTCGATATAAATATATTATTATGCTAAAATGAGGTATTACCTTCATGGCGAAGCTGAGAACAAACTGCTTGCTGAGGGGTCGTTGTTATCGCATTATATATGTGATGTACATCTCCCACTCGGGTGCTCCGCTCGCGGCCGTCGAGAGCCGTGAAGAAGCGAACGGAAGCTGCTCTGCGGCTGTGGCCGTCTGTTAGTGACGCAACCCATTGTCCCTGCGTGATGCCGGACTTGAGATTACTTCAATCTCTACCCTGTGAAGCTTTACTCACATTTTTGATTAATTACCTTCAACGCTACACCATTATTACAAAAAATAAAATAGAGGCAGTCAATACCATCTCTCGTAAAATTCTTAATATGTTATTTTAAACTCTACCTAATAAGTATTATTGAGATGTTTTTATGATTGATTTATAATCAAGAGCAGTTTTCTTTGTGTAAGTAATATTGGAGTTGATTTTTTTTTATTGAAAATCACAAAAGTGTACAGATATTGAATTTACAAATTTCCCACAAAACCGGTTTAGCGGTTAGCTAACAACAATTTGTGGATCACACACAAAGAGTTGATAGACAGATAAATTCTGATTTTTAGAAATAGCTTTAACTGCCAACCCGCTGTACATGCCATGGAGTAGGTAGGTAGGTACAATTGCGAGTCAAGCGCAATAAGGTACAGCCCAGGGACAAATCAATACGGGATAAACCCGAGCAAAAATAAAAATATAAATCAAACAACAAAAAAAATATAAAGTTATTGTTAAATTACAAATTTAAAAACAAGGCGCAGATCCTATGCCTACTTGGTGGTACAGTCACTGAAGAACGTTTACAAAAAATAAAAATATGTGGGTAAGTACGAGTACGTGGTTGGCGGTATTGTCGGTGACTTTACTAAGGGGAGGCAGTTGGAAGCGCCGTGGTTATGCGCATGCCGATGCTTCTATCCCAGGCTAGGGACGATGCGACGGCTATAGCGCAGTGGCACGGGGGCAGGCCCATGATGCTCGCCATCTCCACGTTGTCACTCTAAACGGAGTTTTTAATTCCAAACAACAGCAGGGCCCCGGGCTGGAGCAGGAAAAGGAACAGGGTGGTTTTTAGTCAATAAGAGTCTGACTCCCTCTCGTCTCACCATGGCGCAGGTAGGTTTAGATGAAATACCCACATAAGTAGCTACATTAATTAAGGCGGATAACCAGGTTCCTGTCGTCTTTTTTTCCTCTATTGACCTGCTAAGTGCGTAGATCTAGCATGCACAGGTTAATCGATTCATGATCTAAGTACCTAAAGAAAAATCTACTACCTCAACTCACGAAGTATCCATCTATAGGTACCTACTACCTAATTGATGAGATGGCCCACTAGCTAGGCGAGTACTGCGCAACAGATCTCAGGCTTATTATTGCAGATTTAAAATTATGTTTATAAACTACAATGTGTTTTTTTCTGGATCAGGAATAGATAGGTACTAAATTGTGCTTTGCGTAAGTTTGGCATCAATCGAGCCAGTCCCAAATTAGGTAACTGCCTACATGCTATATCGAAAACTCATAAGCAGAATGATGCTGCTGTTTGCATTTTAATGTTTACTAGAGCACTTCTAATATACTATCAGTTAAGGGATTAAAAAGTGAGTATAGAATTGAATTTTTAGACATTAACTACATATTTATTGAATAAGAAGATTTGATTACAGAATTCTAATGATGTAATTGAACAAATACCTAGTAATGTATGAACATTTCAATTTTATTTTAAATTGAGGTCAATTATACTCTCCGGAATAATACTTATAAACGTTAAATTCCGGTTTAGGTAAACAAGTATACAAATAACTCTACGTCGAGCGTTCACAAGTGTGTCTGCCGTTCACGAGGTCTCAAGTTTGATGCTCAGATCGACAAGATAATTGAATTATTAAGATTGTGAGTACTTAGGTAAATAACTTGCCTTTTTATCTCCAGATAATAACTGTCATTTTTTGGTGAACTTGTGTAGATATTTTTCTTGTCCGTTCTTCTCCATTCAAATCAATACTTTGAAACGGACATCTAGCGTCATTGACGAAGAGACTGATTGATTCTATTTTGGCGTTTCCAAAGTACCGTTTTGTGGTGTAGTTGGAATAAATGATGTTGAGTTTGACTTTGACTAAGAGTTGAAGAAAACGAATAGAATGTGAGTAGGGATATCCCTTTTCGAGCAGCCTCCACTCAAAGTTACAACAGTCTAAAAGTGCATCGCGTTCGTAGTTCCAGTTCCAGCTCCAGCTCTACTTTGCTAAAATTACAGATGAAACTAGTCTCGCTAGTTCATGTTGAATTGAAAATATTGTTTTCCCGCTCTCCTAACTTAACCTTAAACCTTTAATAGAAGAACAATAGGTATACGAACGCCGGCGTTCGCTTGGATTTGATGTATTAAGTTACTCGAAGGCCCTGACTGGTGACGGATACATATAATTATTATCACATTTAAATTAAATCACATCTAATTTAAAAGTTGTTCTACGGGCCTCTGTGGGTTGGCTTCGGCGTATATATGCCTTCCAAAGGTCCGGGACCCTGTGGTACTGTGAATACAAGAAAACATAAAATATAATTTTTGACAGGTGCCACAGCCTTTCCATAGGATGCCAGTCCATACCACACCCACATAGCCTTATCCTTTGTTTCCATCATCCGCAATACCTAGTCCTACGTCGTACACTAACCGGGATCTGTCCTTGGGTGCATTACCATCTTGGGTGCACCAGTGCATACAGGGATAGTCGCTCATTTGAATCCCACTTCATTTAAGTTAAAGTTGTCTAATGGGCCTCTGCGCAGTGGGCTTCAGCCCCTCATATGCCTCTCAAATGAACTCTTTATTTTTTTGCCAGGGGAAAATCATCAAATGATTTCTCCCGCCCAGGGTAAGGCCAGACAAAAGTGTCAGATCTAACTAACTAAACCCTCCCTCCCCCCGTCCCTTCTTCTGCTCTGGGCCGAGGTCGCGGTGACTCATTGTGCTTAATCCCGACCCCAACCCCGGCTGAACATCAGCCCTATAGGCCCCGTCTGTGGTGGTCTATTGATTATTTGAGGCGCGCGCGGAACCCTACGCGCCGTACGCATGGGACTGGGCTCTGATCGGGCAGCGAGCTACCCTCGCAGACCGGCGCTTAAGGTGGCCGGAGATCATCTCGCGTCCTAAATGAACCCCGTGGCCCTGTAATTAGTTAATTCAACATACATAATAATAACATATGCCAAAGAAGAAAATATTTAAGCGTCAATAATGACTACTTAATACACATCTTTAGCAAGATTACCTAAGTACTTAGGTCTTCCTTTACGGGTAGATACAATCATAAAAGCGAACCCTTTCGTCTTTAGCGAGATAGTGGAACACCCGTGGGATTGTGGGAAGCAGATGCGCTAATTAACATAAACATGTTATTAATCTTTTGTTAAACTAACACTTCATAATATGTATTATGAATGCCAAATCATTGAGAATTAATTTAGAAGGTAATCACAAATAAATTACGTCTTTTAAAAGCATTTAAAATGCAAGGTTAAACATTTCAATACAACCTTAAAATAATAATCTAACAATTTGATGATGGTACATTCTAGTTTATTAACCGGACATCTTTATTACCTATATCGAAAGTTATCTGTATTGCATATTTGCACAAAATTTCAACCTTGAGTATTTAGTTGACTATTGATCATAATATTCTGTCATTTTTAAATTAATGAAAAAGCCACTTTTATTAGATGAGAAAGTATAATTTTTTTTATTGGTTATTGACAGTATGTACTTATTCGTTTTATAAACCTACGTAACTTAGGTACCTGAACAGCTGTCTGAAGATCAATCCTATATAGGTACCTAATACTGAATGCAAATAAGCACCTTAAAAGCACTAACAATAAATAATAATAGATACCAGTTTCACTACCTACCTTAAACAGACGGTGATTTATATGCTAACAGATTATTTGAGTATATAATAAAGTACACAAGTGTACAAGTAAACATAATTGTTTAGGTAGGTAAATGGTACCCTTGTATTGGGGGGAATCATCAAATGGCTTCTCTCGTTTTGGACTTTCCTACTGACTAAAACCACCCGTTCCTTCTTGGGCTCCTAGTCGGGGTCGCGGTACATTATTGCGCTTGCATCTGTAGGTACTTACATGAGGTACAATTTAAGTACATGCATATTTAAATTGAAGGCATAGTATACTTAGTAGCTATTGTCAGGCCTTGTGTTACATGTGGTACATGGACATCCTTTAATTGGGTAGTTTCCTAGGTCAAAAATAAATTACCTAATTCGACTTTGCAATACAATAAAATATTGAAAAATAACTATACTTTTATTCATCGATCGATCGATTCACAAAGCTTTAGATATTTTGTAGTTAATTATTAAGAAATAAGTAGGTAAGCTATTTGACGCAAAAATACTATGACGTCATACCTCAGTTTTTCATACAAATTTCATAGTAAAGTATCGTTTTTGACATTTGAATAAAAGTATTGAATTTGACTAGTTGGAAACTACCGTATTCTGTGATTGTATAGTCCATGATCTTCTAAAGCATTTTTTTATGAATACTTATAGCTTATACCCGTAAGTGGCGTCACTACTACTTATAGCATAAGTCGTATAATAAGTAGATACGAGGTATCTGATGCAAAGGGACCGTCTCAATTATTTTATTATCATCGTGTTAATTACAATATGTAGTGGAAATTGACCACCCTAATGACTATAAGTCTGTCGTTTGGAAAAGAAACACATTCAGGCCTCGATATGCTCACACGCATTTTTTGGGTTTCTTACTATTAAGACCTAAGTACTCAAATAAGTTCACTTGATTACCGACCTTTATACCTACTAATGTAGGTACTTGATTGGGCAATGCATACAACCGCCGATTATGTTTATTTATCTACTGTCTGCAAAAGGTTAAGGTGGTCAGTGGTCATCTACTTAATATGATGTGAGCTTTAACCAATTATTTTTAAGTCTTCCTGTGGCGATTAAAACTTGTTATTAGCATTTTTGATTTACCAGCATCGCCTTTTCAGGCTGTTAATTTTATCAAAGTCAAAGTTAGAATCGTTT